GACGGAAAACAAGAATGGATCGTGCCTTTCACCGGACGATTCCGCGTGGAGGCCTGCGGGGCATCTGGAGGAAAAGGATCCAGTGGAGTGGAGGGAGGCAGGGGGGCTAAAGTAAGTGGCAATGTCTTGCTGACGAAAGGAGAGAGAATTATTGTACTTGTCGGACAAAGAGGCTCATCGGATGCTCTTCACAAACCGGGAAGTGGAGGTGGTGGAACGTTTGTTATCTCTCAAGTTGGGCCTCTTCTTGTAGCTGGCGGTGGCGGAGGGGGAGGTGCATTAAAAAATGGTTCCCACGGAAATGATAAACAGAATGGAAGCGGTATCGGTGCTGGGAGTCATGGTTTAGGGGGGTTTGTTTGTAAACAATCTGGCCCATACGGTCATCCACCAGATTCTGGCTCGGGTGCTGGCATTAATGGAAGTGGAGGATGCCGTGTTGATGGAGAGCCATGCACAAGGCATCCCTGTCACGAAGGAGGACAATCATTTACAGAGGGAGGAAAGGGAGGCAAGACAGAGGGAGGAAAGGGAGGCAAGGAGCCAAACTGTCATGGTGGTTTTGGTGGTGGAGGAGCTTGCACGGACTTTGCACCTGGGGGAGGGGGTGGATATTCGGGTGGTGGAGTCGATGATAACAAGGCTGGGGGAGGGGGAGGGTCCTTCGTGGATGATGTGATGGCTAGGTGGAGTGTTATTAAGGGAGGGTGTGACGAGGGGGATGGGTACGTTTCTTTTATCAGTGAAGAGTGATTCCAATAATAGAGCGGTTTTCAAGTATATATCAAACACTCGAGAGAGTGTTTCGTCGAGATGTCACCGAGAAACACCGAGATCGAAGAGAGTTGAAAATACGACGCGCAGCGGAGTATTTTTGACGAATTTGGAGGTGTTTGAATAGTCGATGAAACACTGTCTTGACTGTTTGATACATCTCATCAATCGAAACAAAAACTAAGGAGTAAACGGAGAAGTAAAATCGTCAAAATCTACGCTAATTAAGACCGGGTCTCCAAACCTCCTTCAAGGTTGTGATTTCTTTGTTCTAAGTTGATGAATTATTAATGAGTTCAAGAATTGACTGTCGAAAGTAATCAGGGAAGTACTTTGGTTTTGGTTTTAGCTCTACTGTGGTTTGAGATTGACTGAGTAGTCTTATTGGTAGGCAATTGGTTTGTCTTTGGTTTTACAACACTCGATTGAAAACCGCTCTAAACTTATGAGGTTATCCAATTTATAACATGACTGAGAAAATTACTTCACTGTGATTGGCTGAAAGAGGGCAAATAAGTAATTGGTTTTAAATTTCCGCTACGATGAAAATTAGTTTGCGGGTTAGTAATTTTCTCGGTCATATTATCGTAAATCAGTAATTGTATGGAAGCTTCGCATATATAGCCCCCGTAGTAAGCGTCCCGCAGGAATTACTGTTTACCACTCTCGCCTCAGTTTCCGTGTGCGCAAGTTACTTCAAGCAAGAGAAATTCTTCTCTTGCTTAGAGCTATTAAGGTTTCACAATACCTGTGTTCTGAAAAACTCTTTGGGCACGCACCTTTGTTTCAGTTATCACTGAAGCAAATCCTTAAAAGAACTCGCATTCATACCGTTGCCAATACGACTTGCTTATTTGAGCTCCGTGAGGCATTCTTTTGAGGCATTCTCCGTTTTGAAGCCGGAATCTCGATGTCCCCCCCCCCCCGGCTGAAATTACATGATGGCCGCTCGTTACATTGCATTGTAGCATAGCATAATGAATTTATTAATAAATAGTTATCATCATTAAACTACATCAATGACTTTACCTTAATTTAAGAGCTGTTCAATGTGGTCATATCCTTTTACAATGAAGCCCTTACTTATTAAGCGGAAAACCTTGGGACCTTTCCCAGGGACCGCTCAATAGGGGGGCCTTGTTAACGACAGTTTCTCCATAATAAACTTCCAGATTATTCACCAAGCTATCCTGAAGTTCGTGAAGTCTTTTTTGCACGTACTCATTATAAATTCGTCCCAGCATCCGTTAAATTAAATGGAGGTTGTTAACAACACAGCAATAAACTGGAGGGAAAACTTAACTACAAGATCGATTATGTTTGAGCAAGGATATTGTGGTTTAATTCTGACTATATTTTATTGAAATACAATGCTTGGAATAATAACTGACGAACTCGCTCGCATGTACTTAACCTCTGAATGTTTGCAAACTCGTATCGACTTATGGATCAATTTTGCTATACAGTGGCCATTGACTGGGGTGGATACTGAATTATAGAGAAGACGGAACCGTCGTCGATGGTCCTCTTTAGGAGAGTCCGAGGACATCCTCCCCAGAAAAATTTTTAAAATTATGGTCCTCGGAAATGCCATTTCCCGTATTCTGAGGCCACGTCAGCTTGTTATAATGTCTAATTAATTTTTTCATTTTAGGGGGCTCGACCGAACCC